AATTTTTTTACCCGAACTAAATAATTGACACATAATTTTTCTAAATTAATGAATTCATAACAAAAATAAAAAATAAAAAAAAACATTATATTAACACCTTAAAACATCACACATTTAAAATAACAAAATTAAATTAAATAAAAATCAGTAGAAACATTTTTTTCAATTTAGAAATGGACATGAAAAGATCATTTAAGGCATATGCATTCATAATGGTCATAATCCTTGTCTTTAGACTCTCACTCATTGTACAAAATGGTGATTTGTCTTTTGTGGATCACCATCTTATGAAGTGAGAATGTTTTTGCATACTGATTAGCCTTAAAAATTGATTATTTTGACATTCTTCATCAAAGACATGCATACCCATACACGGCTTGTTTTATCAATCAACAGTAAGAGTTAACACTGATAATAAAATATTTAAGTGTGTTAAGAAATAAAAATTATACGTTATAAATTATTAAATATATATTTGTATTAGTGTTAGGACATTTTGCATACCATTCATACTTAATAAATAATAGTTTATCCTATCCCAAACTTCATGACACCAATCATGCATGGGTTTATTGTGATTAAGTCGGTTATAAGTTCACTTGGGTTGGACATGTTTTGTCCTTTTTGGGTTGTATTATAAGTCCCTTTGTTTGTTGCATTTTCTCTCTTTAGACTACGTTCTAAGGTTCTACATCTTAGGGGAAACCTCATTAACACAGTGTTCTAAATATTGTGCAGCGACGTACCTCGAACACTTATAAAAATCCCAACGATAACTTCCGGGAGTAACGGCTTCTGATCATTGTACAGCGAACATTATACTTTGAAAAAGCTTGTAACCATTTCTCGGTTGTGGAAAAAAATGTTTATATTTGTACTTATAAATTTATAGTGAATCATTTCAATTGGGCTAGATCCCTCGATTTTTTCTCTTCGGGCTTTGTCAAGTAAAAATTTCTTTTGCCTCCTCTTGCTTATGTTTACTATTTGAGTGTATCGGATTTAGTACAAAGTTGAGACATTAAATTATTACTCTTCTGTCATCAAATTTTTGCCACAAATCAAAGAGCATTGAATGGAATCTAGTTGAAGCTTACTTGAGGTCACATGCCATCATTCAATATGCAAGAATAGATTATTTTAGTTTAGGTTATAAAAGAGTCAAGTCAACCTCGAGCCCCTCTAAAATTGAGCTTGACTCATCAGATGTATGGTTGGCTTTAGCATGACTTGAACACAAAATCGGCTCATAGTAGTTACGCCGGTCTTGACCTCAGCTCAAAAGCTCGATTTTGATAAAAAAAAATTTAAAATTTTATTTATATAAAAAAAGATTAAGTCATATAATCAAACTGAATCGGTGAGCTCTCGAGCTGAATCTGGCTAACCTCGCAGCTCGATAAGTTCGACTCGCGTCTCTTTATAGGTCGAATACAAGCCTACGTGGCTCACTTACACTCTTAGTTTAATTACTTCAGTAGTTTAATTAAGAATTGGATCCTTAAAAAGATCACTAAGAAAAAGTTATCATGTAGGCAATTCAATATCTCTATATGTTCATGATTGGAATATAAATAAAATCAACTGGTGCTAAAATATAAAATAAAAAAAATGACATTAAAAATATATTAAGAATATTAAAATATTACACGCAAAATATTTAGATGGTACTTCGAATATTTAATCGCTGCCGTTGAAAGTGTGAACAAATCATAGCCATCAAAATGATTCCAACTAAGGGATATAATTCAAAGTTTGACCTGCACATGCTCCATTAAACTTCAAGCTTCAACTTTATTAGCTGTGAAATCAACGGTCATTGAACCTTTTGAATAGTCGAAGTGATAAAGATATAATAATACTACTTCATTTTATTATATTTTTTATTTTCATTTTAAAATTCAAACTTCTAACTCACACTTGACTATGCACACTAAGGTATGTCCGTTTGGCACAGCTTATTTAGTGCGGTGGCATTTTGAAAACTTGTCTGACAAGTTTGGGTAAACTGTGTTTTGTCAGCTTATACGTTTTCAAAACGCTGAAAACAACGTTTTCACACTGGGCAGCTTTCTGCAAGCGATCTGGCTTTTTTAAAAAAAAATAAAAATTGGTAATAGTCACCGCACCTAACTTATCAGCAAATTATTCAATAAGCTGCAGCTACCCCCCACAGATCATAAATGTCACATTCTAGAAGAGAAATAATTAAAAATTTTCCATTAATAAATTGTGTTCCTTAATAATAAAACATAAAGTTGATATGGATGGATGCTCAATCTTAAAAAAATAATGTTAATTTATTTTTTATTTTTTTTTCCTTTTGATCAGCTTATAAAATTTACTTTTTCATTATTTTTATTTTGTAAATCAAAAGTATAAGAGAAAAAATTGTTTAAATCCTTAATTTTTTCAATGCCGAATTAAGTAAATTTCAATTTTTTTTAAATTAAAAAATTGGTATTTATTTGAAACGAGCATAATATATAAGGAAACAAATTAATTTAATATTATACTTATTCTAAATTAAATCCAAAAATCCTGATTAGCTCTGACCAAAAAACAATTTTAGGTAGCATATTTTTGCTAGTTTGGACCTCATAAATTTAATTTTACTCTAAGATGAATAAATATAGTAAGAAATAAGCAACATTTATGTTGCATTTATTTTAAATTAACTTTAACTAGTATAAAATCCCAGATAAAAAAGTAATTATTTATCTCAAGTAGTTTTTTTTCTATTTTAAGTAAGAAACATTTTTGTTGGTTTATCTTAAGAAAAGCACTCTTTATCTATCACAAAGAATGTGTGTGGGGCGCACATATTCTATCCGGGCACCTGACGTACCTCTACTTTACGTACGGCGTAGGTTATTCCCGAGTTATTTTCAAGTTATTTTTGAGTTATTTTCAATAATCCTGAAATAACCCAAAAATAAAGACTGCGGGTTATTTCTGGGTTACTTCGGGATTACTGAAAATAACTTTGAAATAACCTGAAAATAACTCAGGAATATCCCGCGCCGCACGTAGAGCTACGTCAGGAGTCCGCACAGAAAAATTTTTGGTGTTTAGGGCGGTGTGCCCCACAATTTTTCAATTTGACAAAACTGAGTTTTAACTACTTTCTCAAAAAAAACACAATTTTTTACCACCATACTTGGCTAAGTGCGATGATTGTCAGAAAGTTACAGACCAACTTTTTTAGGGAAAAAAAATGCAATAGCGACCGTAATTTTTTTGATGAGCAGCTCCTTCTGTAATAGCTTTACAGTTGTTTTTTTTTTACCACCTAAAGTTGCCCCCAAACAGACCTTAAAGCATAAAACTTGAATCTGAATATCATTACACGGCTATACTAAAATTAATAAAATCAAGTATAAGTTTTGGTTGATTAATCCATTCATCCCAAAAGTAACTAAGCTTATAGAATCCACCCACCTAAATTATACAACCCGCTATTCCTAAGATAGAAAAAAATTAGATCAAATTCATGAATATTTAATTTTTAAATTAATATTAAAATAAATGAAGCAAAAATTCAATCATTTTTGTTGATAAAATATTTTAAGGAAAATCATGATAAATCTTAAAATCTTAAAATATATTTTTTTAATTGATTATTGTTACATGCTGAAATTTTTCTAGTAGAGGAGTCATCTTTATAAGTTACAAACAAATTTTACTCAAAAAACTTACACATTGTCGTATGTCGGAGGATTCACAACGATGGTCATAATTTAACATTTTAGTGTTGTGATGATCCACCATAGACAAAGAAAGTTTCAGAGTGGCTGAAGGAGAAACATAGATTTTTTTACGTGAAAAAACTCATAAAAGAAAAAAAATCACAAGGTCTAGTCTTGACAAAATGTTTCACTGTAAGTGTGTAATTATAATGAATGAACAATTTTCCTACAATTGGTAGAGCACATATACAACTTCATACCAAATACAACGTTATTTCACATAAACGTGAGTCTCGAGAAATTCATTAGATTTTGAGTGCTACAATCATAAGCAGTTTTCATAGCGAGTTATCTTCGGATCTGAAATATGACGTTATTTGTTACATAATATTCAGGATGCATCATTACACCGTAAAATTCATTGATAGTGGAGAGCAAGCACGACTATCAGTAGTCGAAGGCGGTCGGCGGTCGGTGGTCAAGAGTGGTTGGCAGGCGGTGCTGAAGATGGTCAGGTTTTCAATTCATAGCATCAACTCTTTCCTCCACTTCCAATTGAAGAGGGGGTCCACTGATAGCCCCTAGAGAGGGGTATTTTGTCCATTTGTGAATAACTTCAATAATCACTTGATCATACAACCCGTATTGATTCCCCTAGATCACAAAAGAATTTTTAATGATTTGAGGGTCTTAATGATATCATAATTAAGCAAACTTAAACTTGCTGAATTTCTCTTGTCACGATAATCCCGAAATAACCCAGAAATAACCCGTGGTCTGTATGGGTTATTTATACAATGCTTGATTTCGCTATAAATATGTCAAATTTAAAGTTCATTTGATCATTCAATTAATGATATAAAGCTACCAAATATGCTTTAATGAGTTGATATGCATATGTGTGGCTTGGAGCATATCATTTTTGGTATTATCACGCTCATCTTATCTAGACGGTTGGTTTGACTATAAACTTGCTGAAATTGATGCCTTCACAAGATTCATGTCAAATGATAAAAAAATTTTGACGTTGAATCATACATAAATATATAGAATGAGAGAATATAAAATCAGAATATCATTACAAAATTTTTTATTTTCATTTTTGGGGCTTAATCATCTATTTTACTTATCTTTAAAGCATTAAGTTGATCAAACATGTGTATGCTTATCCATAATAAAGACTTGCTACTGAGAACTTGCTATTTTTAAGCACACTTAAAGACTCAAAAGGATAAATACTTAATAATAATTAGGATAAACTTTCCAATTTAAAATTAATTAGCACCATATTTTTTTGGGATGAGACTAACAACAAATCACCACCGGAAAATGGCAACAATAAATAAATCTCCCTCCTCTTCTCCCATCTACATCTCTTCACTTCTTCTCTCACGCGCTCTGTCTCTCAGAGGAAAGCGGAGCTTCGAGGATTTGGAATTAGGGTTTTAATGGCGGGAGGAGGGATCGGAGTCGGCGAAGTGGGAAGAAGAGCGGAGTACTATGAAGGGGGAGTCACTCTCTTCTTCGTATTGGCGGTCATCGTTGGATCTCTTGGAGGATCTCTGTTCGGCTATGATCTTGGCGTCTCCAGTTAGTTTTCTTATCTTCCCCTGATTTTAATGGCTTCCCTCTTTCCATTTTAGGGTTTCCGTCCTTTTTTTTTTGTATTGAATGAATACGCTTAAATGTTTCAAAAAATCAACTGTAGTTTGTTCCTTAAAATTAATCTATGTATTGTTTCAAATAATCAATCCTAATTTTACATGAACATCTGTTGATTTTTTTTTCTATTGAGTCGTTACAGCTAGAGTCAAACCGACCATATAAACCAATTAAATTAATTAAATATATGTATATATTTCTAATTTCCAGTGCCCAGTTAAAAAAGCAAACTGTTTTTTATGTAATTTTTTGACTGGTTCCATTAAGGGCATTTTTGGGTCAACTTATAATTGCGGCGGCTTTCTGTCTAATCGTTTGGTTTGCGTGTTTTTGAAAACACTATCGGCCGCCTCAGCCTTGTTTAGGCTTTTTCCCCTAAATACAGGCTGCGGGTCGACTCCCGCGTTTCTGAAAAAGCTGCTTATTCTTAAATGAGAATATTATTTATTTGGAAAAAAAGGGGGGCCTCAAAATTTACTTTCAATTTTAAGAATGTTGACCCATATTATATATAAAAGTTTATCGTATATAAGGTATTTTGCCTAAATATTTTTACTAGTAATAAAATATATATTTTAATATAAGATAATTTACGGAGATATAAAACTATTTCACTCATATAAGGAGAACCCATCAAAGTTGTTAATTTAGCACGTTCTTAATAGCACAATTGGTAAATTTGGATTTCAGCTGCCCTCACTTAGCATTTGGACAGCGTATTATTGCTCTAAAACGTTATATTAGTTTTCAATGCGACATATAGAGCATGCTCTACGCAAATCCTAATCACTTTTCTCTCCCATCCTAATCACTTCCTGATCCTAATCATTTTATTCACCTAAAATCCTAATCGACCTCTATTGAGCGGAAAAATATTATATTAGAAATCTGAACATAGAGCTACGTTAGGATTGTAATAGTTAGGAATATTTTGTTGTGTTACAGGAATATTTCATCTACGCTATTTTAAAAAATGAAGTGTTGTTATTTGAGTATTATATGGTGTTATTATTTTTCGGTGTTATTGGAATATTTCCCGCGTTACTTGATTTGAGATTGTGTTATTCGGCATATTCCCCGTGTTATTTCGATTTTCACTATGTTATTGGAATAACACAACCCCAAATCAAGTAACGCGGGGAAATATTTCAATAACATTTCAATCCCAAATCAAGTAACGAGGGGAAATATTCCAATAACACCGTAAAATAATCGAGTAATACTTCATTTTTAACAAATAATGCAGATAGAATATATCTGTAACACAGCAAAATATTCATAACTATTGCACTCCGAACGCAGCTCTACGTTCAGAGTTCTGATATAATAGTTTTTCAATAAAACACTAAATTATATAAATAACAATGTTAAATATATAAATCTTAACATTTTGTCAAATATATACATAAATCCCCCCAATCATTTCATAGCGCTCATGCAGAGATGCATGCACGGTCTGATCTCCGTTGATTAGAGCTTTTATCATTTTTTTTAATTCACTAAAATATAATTTTGATATGATCAATAGTATGAAATAATTTTTTCTAAAAAAGACTCATTTAATTTAAAATTTTCATAATGAAAACACAGGCGGGGTGACATCCATGGATGATTTCTTAAAAGAGTTCTTCCCCAAAACGTACGACAGAAAGCACGCGCATCTCCACGAAACAGACTACTGCAAATACGACAACCAGATACTAACCCTCTTCACATCTTCCCTCTACTTCGCCGGCCTCCTCTCCACCTTCGCCGCATCACCCGTCACGAGGAAATATGGAAGGAGAGCCAGCATCTTAACCGGCGCAGTCAGCTTCTTCCTCGGAGGCGTTGTCAATGCAGCAGCCGTCAACATTTTCATGCTCATCGTCGGCCGAATCTTTCTCGGCATCGGTATCGGTTTCGGAAATCAAGCCGTCCCTCTCTACCTATCCGAGATCGCACCCCCGAAGATCAGAGGGGCCGTGAATCAACTCTTCCAGCTAACCACCTGTCTAGGTATTCTCGTCGCCGATTTCATCAACTACTTCACCGAAAAGATCCACCCCTGGGGATGGCGGCTCTCCCTCGGCCTCGCGGTTTTGCCGGCAACCCTAATGTTCTTCGGCGGTTTATTTCTCCCCGAGACACCCAACAGTCTGGTGGAGCGAGGAAGACTGGAGGAAGCGAGGAGGATTCTGGAGAAGGTGAGAGGGACCAAGAAGGTGGATGCGGAGCTGGAGGATCTGAAGGATGCGAGCGCTGCCTCGCAGGCGGTGAAGCACCCATTCCGCAATATACTGAAGCGAAAGAACCGGCCCCAGCTCATTATCGGCGCATTCCAGCTTTCCAGCAGCTCACCGGACAGAATTCCATACTCTTCTATGCTCCTGTGATCTTCCAGAGCCTGGGATTTGGATCTGGTGCGGCGCTCTACTCTTCCATTATCACCGGCTCCATGCTCGTTATCGGCGCTATTGTTTCCATGCTGCTCGTCGATAGGCTTGGCAGGCGTTTCCTCTTCATGGAAGCTGGTATTCAGATGATCATCTCAAATGTACGTAAATGATTTACATACATACCCAATTCTTATGTAATCTTTCGTATCACATGTACAAATGTCATTAAAGTCACGCGAAATACATATTTTTCATGCATTAGATGGCACATGTAAAAATTAAACTTTAGTTGTTAGATTTGTAAATAAATACATAGCAATTGAATGATATGTATGTAAATCTTCCTTTAGTTTTTGAGGCATTTACATACATTCCACCTAATTCATGTGAATTTACACATACAATACCTAAATTTTTTATTTGACATTTCTGCCATCCAAATCTTTCTCATCGCATTTTAAAATATCATTATTATAACTTTTAAAAGTGAAATACATCTTTTGAGGTACATATAAGATGTCAAACATATAAAAATTGAAGCTTGTGTTAGACATGTAAATGCATAGAAATTAAGAGGTATGTATGTAAATCCTCAATTTTTTTTTTATTTTTTTTTTCACTCTTAAAGCTAGAAACTATTCATGTAATCATCTATGGTTGCAGTTGATTGTAGGCATAACTCTGGCTCTGGAGTTCGGTCGTGGCACCGTTCTATCCAAAGGTGTATCGGTGCTTCTTGTCGTCTCAATCTGCGCATTCGTGGCAGCTTTCGGCTGGTCATGGGGTCCTCTCGGGTGGTTGGTGCCGAGTGAGCTCTTCCCCTTGGAGACAAGGCCGGCGGGTCAGAGCATCGTCGTTTGTATCAACCTTTTCTGCACCGCACTTGTCGCTCAGTGCTTCCTCGCGGCATTATGCCACCTCCGCTTCGGCGTTTTCATCCTCTTCGCTTGTTTGATTGCGATCATGTCTTTGTTCATCTACTTCCTGCTGCCGGAGACGAAGCAGGTGCCGATTGAAGAGATCTACCAGCTCTGGGAGCAGCACTGGTTCTGGAAGAAGATAGTGATTGACGAGGCTTCAAAGGAGACTCGGCAACCACCACCACCACAAGTGTAGTTAACCAATACCAACTGTGGATATTGAATAAAGCCTATGTTTTTCTCACGATGTTATGATTTCTTATTTGAAACAGCATGCTTTATAAATTGTGGATGGAATGTGTTTATGAAATGCATATATTTTCTGCATTGGTTACAATGTTCATGTCACTGTTTTTGTGCGGCAATATATATTGATTCTATGAAGCAGATTGAGCATTTACTTTTATGAGTCTGAGTCCATTGTTCTTCGTAGCATATAATTCTTCATGTTTTATAATTAGAGAGCGATTATGGTGCAACACCATCTTATAATTCAAGCATTATTATCTTGAAAAAAGTATTTGGTCAAAAAAGAAGACTCATATAATATACTATATATCTTGGCATACACCTTTTTTGGGTGCACATGAAAACAAATAGGACTATATCAGCATAAACATTTAGCTTATGACTCCAAAAATGCATTAATTAAATAGTATCAAATCTATCAAATATCCATTTACAGGACACATATATTAGACTTCTAATCAAAAAAATGCTAACCATATTTTCGAAGCCATCAAATCAATGCATCTGCATAAGGAAATGCCTTTCATAAATGCTTGAACCCAAATGTCATGTTGGAAGTTTCTACAGTGTTCTAAACAAGGCACGGGTTATTCTTGACAAAAATAATTGATTTGAAATGCCGACATAATTATAAATGAATCATGCTTTAATGTGGTGATTAGGGAGAGACAATTAATATTGTGTAAACTGAAAATGATAATCAAAATGTAATATATTGTACAAGGTATTTCTGACACGAAACATACCTTAACTAGCACTGTAAAATAATAACCCATTCTTCTATCCTCATTTCTTTGAGCAGAGCTCCCTTAGCGGACATTGGATCAGATAAATTATTGCCATTCTCGAAAAAATTCCATATGGGAATAATAAAAACTTGTTAAAATCCATCTACGGATGACTTCACAGATTCAACTTAAGCCAGTAGCTTTGCTAGTTCGTCCACTCCTAAACTTCCATGAGGAACCACATCCAGAAAGACATCTTTCTTGTTCCTGCTCCTAGATTTCTGTTTCTCATCACCTTTTCTTAGAGAAACAGGTGAAGTTTCAACAACATATTCCTCCTTACCGTCCTTGCTCTTTTCTTTCTTAACCTTCTGAGACACAGCTTTCTTACACGGATGTTGAAAGCTCGGTCCAGTTGCAGCTTTCATGGCAAGAGCAACAGATTTGGATAGTACAATATCTGCATCTGCGGACTTCTCATCCAACACCAAAGCATTTCCAGCCTCAACAGCTTGCTTGACAAGAAGTGTGACACCTTCCAACCATGGGGCATTGAAAGACTCAAAGAGATTCTCAGAATTGTCTGCTTTGATATCAGATTCATTAGTGCCTATCTCTGCCAAATTCAGATCAGATGCCGATGATGCATTGCCATTGCTTTGTCTTAAAAGAAGATTCTCATTCTCTTCGGGATCTGATCTTACGATTTGAGAACTGTTTTCTTTATGAACTTCATCAGATAGCTCCTCGACTGAGCCTTCAACAGAACTAGAAGCAGGTGGTTCAATTATATCTATCTTTGCAATATCTCTAGTATTTTCCATGTCAAAATCTTTTAAGAGATTTATATCAACACTTTCCTCTACGGAATTTATCTTCTGCATTTGCATGTCCTTTACTAATGAACCAGAAATATCAAATGCATCATCCGCGATAAGTCCCACAGCTGCATGATCGCCGTTTGATGGTAAAAGAGATGATTTCCATTCTTTCCCTCTCCACATCAGTATATGCTCATACTCAAATGAGAGTAAGACACATGGAACCAGGTCCTACAAAACCAAGTTCAAAAACTGTATTATGAAAAAAAAGGGGTGTAAACAAGCCGAGTTTGAGCAAACCTGGTGCTTGTTAGTATTCGGCTCATTCGAATTTTTTTTAGGCTTGTGTTTGAAATTGCTCGTAAATAGCATATTCTTCATGTTCAGCTTGATTCAAATTTGTTTGTTCGATTCGACTTTTATTTAGCTTGACATTAATTGGAATGATTTAGAATATAATATATATTTTTTTTAAATAAAGCATAAAAATTAATATAAAAATATTATAGTAAAATTAATTATTTAATCCGAGCCAAAATGAGCCAACTACGATTGAATAAAAGTATATTCATGTTTGGCTCATTCATAACTCGAGCTAAAAAATATCATTCGTGTCCGGCACTTGATTAACAAACGAATCAATCATGAGCTACTTAACGAGCCGAAAAAGAACATTTCGCAAACGACAAGTTTTACCCTGAGCTTGGCACCTATCTTCCTGCAATCACTTTTGTTCATATCTTTGCAGTTGATCCGAACCAGCTCACATTCCTCGAAAGCCTCCTTGACATCTCTAACAAGATTAGAATATAAGCCGTTCTTTCCTGTTTGAAACATGCAAAGCATTCAGGTTATCATGCATTGAAGAAATATATCACGTATCCCCATTTACCTAAAACTGTACCAAAAAATTGCCCCCCCCCCCCCCCCCCCCAAAAAAAATAAAACTAGCAAGAAGAAAAGTGGAGAAGACTCACCAAGTTTGCATATTGGAGGCACTTGGCGCCCTTTCTTGCGCATCTCAGTTGCCTCTTCCAATGTTAACCCCTCGGGAACACGCTGAACCAATCGAGGGTACACGGGTGTCATGGGCTTCCAAAGCATAAGAGGGTATTTAGGTCTGGTCCTATAGTTGTAATTCCGACCACGATACAAGTAGACAATGCCTCCTCTGCTATATATAATCTTTCCTCCAGTTTTTTCCTGCACAAAAGAGCAATTTAACAATTTGCATGCTACAAGGTTGCTTGAAAGTTCATAATAAGTTGGGGACAAGTTCACAATTCTTATGTATTTACTTATCTCTCACCTAAATTTTTATATTTACACACAGAGCACTCAAATCTTTACTATCACATAAAAAATAGCACTATATACCACTTTTTAAAAGGAAAATCAAATTTTCATGCATAGGTTTAGCGCACCAGAGTGCTTTGCATGTGCATATAAAAGTTTAGGTATGAGATACATAAATACGTAAGAATTGTGCTACGTATGTCAATTTCCCAATAAAGCAATACTTACAGGTAACCAAATCTAGCTATATATTCTACTTATGTGAAGAAATTAGACGCGAGCCTTAAGTATAAATTGACGCTATCAATTTGAGAAATGATGAAGTACAGAAATATGCGTCACTAAATAAAGATACAGCTTTCACAGCACAATAAAATAAATAACAGAAGCGAGCAGTTGTATATGTGAGAATTAAAGGAAGAACAGGTAAGGAACTAATAAAAAAATCAAAAGTAAAATGGTTTACATAATGATTCCGTAAATCAGAATCTCTCAAATTCCATGAAACCATTAAACATCAAGATAAACAATGGAAAAATAGTTCCACATTAGTGGGCCTGCTTCTGATGTTCATATACTTCTCATCACAATAAAATGAAAAAAAATACTTTTGAATCTCCATTATGTAATAATCAATACAGAAGGTAAGGTATATTCTCATTTCCATCAGCAATATATTTTTGCAGTGATTATTTCCATGAAATCGACTGTTAAGAATACAATTATATCAATGCAAGCATTTCATTTAAAAGAGTCGGTTGTGTGACTTCATTAATGATATTTTTAGGTTTATGATATCGTGAAGGAATAGTTGATGATGATAAAGTATAAGATACTGTTCATAGTGACATAAAAGCACTGATGAATCAGTGCTTCAAGCTATATATAGGCTTTCAACCATTGAAATCATCTTATTCTTGATATTTAGTTTGTGCAAAGTAGGAAAAAAACAAACAAATGCCAATTATTTTACCTTAAATTATTACCTCGAGTAAAAAACATATGCCATATGATAGTTATGCTTTCTTTTATCCTGAACGCACAGCATTTGATTATCAAGTCTTTCACAACGGCAACCAATTGCTATCTTTCACAAATAAATTAGAGATATTCGAAAAGCCTATTTAACCCACCTAAATTGTAGAATGCTTTCAAAGCTATCTGGTACACACATTGATGAATCTAACTAAGGCTTCGTTTGAGAACCTTTTTCACTGCCGTTATGTTGTACAGAGGAGCGAAAATATTATTCTCATCTGTTGGCTATATTTTTGTCTCCCCGCAGTGTGTCGATCTCAAGGGTGTTTCCCAGTCATTTCAAAAAGCAAGATCGGAGCGGCTTCAAACCTACCGCACTTACGCATTCTGCCTTTTGGAAAACAAAAAAGTCAAAAATAGCCTCTTCTTCTTCTGCCCCTATTTTCATTTCAACTTCTCGTGAAGATGCTTCTCCAGGCATTCTCTACTCTTTCCATGTTCTCTTTGCCATGGGACTAAAGTTTTTCGAGATCATTTATGAGAGCAATCTCCCCGCGAAAAGAAAAAGCTTTTCGAGGTTATTCATGAAAACAATCCCTGTACGAAAAGGAAAAGCAAAAACAACTTTCCAATTGAAATAAAGTAATCCATACGAAAGTTCTGCATGGGGAGTTTCCAATGTAAAGGAATTAATGCTGCAGGAGATTTTAGTATTTAAGAATATTTACTTTTATGGATAATTAGTTATATTTTTTACTTAGAAGTTGGATATTAACCTCGTCAAGAGCACATATCACTTTGAGTGTCACAATGAGAGCCATATAAAATTATAAAAAATAAACTATCAGTGTTAAAATGATAATTAACATAAACTATTTAAGGTATTAGTCTTTTATATTAAAAAACATTATAACTAAAAAGCGCCTAAAATTTTTGAATTCAAACGGTAATATTGACTTTAGCAACTATTACTTTATATCGTTTTTTTATTCTAAAGTTGCTTTTAAAAGAGTTTCTTTTATAGAAGAAGCCCTCCCAAACAAAGCTTAAGTATCAATAACACTGAAAATAAATCTCAGTAATCTACAAGGCATGAACACAGACACAACAGCAAGCCTGTTATATTAATCTAAGAAGGCATTTTACATGCCAACAATAACAGCACAAAAAACTTCATAACATATTGCGCCAAAAAAAAAAAAAAATACTCACAATTCATATCCAAGGGTAGATCCGCATATAAATTAACTAGAAGTTAATGAAGGTATGCTAACACTGTGGACAGTCGAATAGTCGGCGGATTTATGAGTTCATACCTCTAGTTGTTCGCGGACATTATCCATGTCAACCGTGCATACCCCTTTACACTTTATCTTGCACACTCTTCTCCGTTTCCAATGAGCGTGTATATTATCCAACATATTGTGAGTCAAACCATCCCTTCCTGCAAATAATTGATGCTACGTCTGGGTCACGCGATCTAAAAAAGGACAACTCAAAACAAAATTGGAGAAAAAATTTTATAATATAACCCACATGCTGACAGCAAACAGAAGTCGACAAGTTCTTGAAAAGATGACTGAGCTTTCAGCCTACAAATTATTGGATACTAAAAGTTGAAATCAGAAGTAAATTCAATATGTAAAATGTTAAGAGGGCAGTTCAGGAACAAGCTCATCAGATTGCAGACAGAAGTAGTCAGAATCTCACCCATCAGCAGACCTTTGCTTCACAATTTTTTTGCAAAACAATTATTTGTTACAAAATTACTGGTAATTAAGAAAAAGCATACTTCTAGTAGATTAAAGGATTCTTACTTTGACTAAAATTTCACTTGTGACCCGACACATGCTCACAAACTACTGTAATCAGCTTAATGCACGACAACTGTGCGATTAAGGACCTGTTTGTTGAACAATAACCAGCAAATCTCGCCCTAAATGGAAGAAAAGAATGGGCGTCCCTAATTAAGACCAACTAAAGCCTAAGCTCAAAGGTTTACTCATAAATCACATTTAATAGTTTAATATGATATATTACAAATAAAATAAAGGCAAACACCACTCAAATATCTCCGAATGACCCTGATCAGTTATGGTAATCCTAAAATCCTAACTTAATAAGAAGCTAACTTCACCCTTTGAGATTCATACACAGCTGAGACTTACATCAATCCTCAAAATTGTTAACGAGGAGATTTCAACATTCAAGCGGATAAATTTTAAAAGAGAGAGCAATAGGCTTTACAGGAAAGCCTTGACTTCCAGTATATCACTGAGCAAAATAGTTACAAAATGAGTCAGTGAGCCCTTTGCTCTGCTCTTGGTGTTTGGTCCCTATCATAGTTGATTTATGACGGAAAGGACTTTTTGGTGGCCAGAAAGTTCTAAAGCATGGAGGTTATTTAACGTCCCAAGCTTCACAACTCAAACAAGGTCTCAAAGATGTGAGCTTTGATGCTTCACTTTGTAAAGACTTCTCTCGGAACGCCCCTCTGTTTGCACAAAAAATTAGCAAAAAATTAACAGATTGTGGGCGCCCACTATCCAAGAAAGAGATGTCAAGCAAAGGTTGCATTTTAAGTTAGTTTAATGACTAGCTCAAAGGAGTAGTTATTGACAGACAACGGAAAAAATGACGAGTGAGTTTCATGCTCTCTCTTCCGTAAGCACCAAAGAGGTGGATTTTAGCCTTGATATAAGCGGATCAAACTGACAAGGACAATAGCAATTTCAAGTTTGAGACCGTAGGTGTGGGTATCAAGAATCAAGACTATAAAGATGACTTCTCCCAAAAAGTCCATTTAATGGGAGCTTTTAATGCCACCTGCAGTTACCTAGATACTGTTTGAGGCGACGGCAGCCCCATCCCGCTATTAGGGGTGGGAGGCACACCTGCAGCAGAGGGAAAATCACAGCATAGGTTCGCGGCACACGACCTCTTCTCTCGCTGAGCAATGGGCTACATTCCGCGGTTTCATTATAATTTATTTCCGGTCATTATTTTGAACATACTTGCCATATCTGCGAAATACCTTCCTAGGGCATCATGGTTCTTGTTTTGATGTCTTCTCTGTGCGGCTATGGTTTGTTTTCTCGGGGTTGATCTTCAATATTTCTCACAATGCAGGTGAGATGCTTGAAGACCGTATTTCTCACTATCTCTTTACGGGTGAACTTTCTCTGTATGACTATTGTTTGGCTTCATGTGATCTTACTTTTATTTTGATTTTAGGTGCTTTTGTGTTTGATAGTCTTCTAAGATGGTGTCTATGAGAATTTTGAGTTGTTGGGTTTCCTTAATCTTTCATGGTTTGCTTTGTTGAGCCTTTGATGTGACTCAGAATGCTTAGTTCTGAAACTTGGGAAGCCACAGTATTGTATATAGTAAAAAAATTTTGAAAAGCTTAAAATGAAAATTTCATAATAGCACACAATTTTGTTATAGTTACATATCTAAGACCTAAATATCACATTAATGCATAGTATTGTAAGAAACTATGGATGGCTTAAACAGAAAATTTCGGACATACCACACAATTCTGACATATTTACATTTGTAACACCTAAATGTCACACTATTGCATATTATTGTAAGAAAATATGGAGGTTTTAATCAGAAAAATCCGGGCATACCACACGATTCTGATCTATTTACATATCTAACACCTAAATGTCGCATTAACGCAACGTATTGGGATGGCTTAAATAGAAATTTTCAAACATACCACAATTCTAAGGTATTTACATATCAAACATCTAAATGTCATATTACTGCATGGTATTGTAAGAAATTATGAAGGGCTTAAAAAAAATTTTGGGAATACCACACAATTATGATGTAATTTACATATCAATCACTTAAATTTCATATTATTGCATAGTATTGTAAGAAAAAATGGAAAGCTAAAACAAAAAATTTCGGACATAGCACACAATTCTAATATATTTTCATATCTGACACCAAAATGTCATAGTACTCCATATTATTATAAGAAAATTTGGAAAGCATAAACAAAAAACTTTGGGCATACCACACAATTCTGATGTATTTACATATCTAATACCTAAATAACACATTATTATCACATTGTGCTTATTGAATGAATATCACGAGACATTTTTAAGTAAGAGATCATATATTGGTGACAAATGGATTAGAAAACTACTAGGCGGGCATCCAGGGATATTTCACTATTTTTACGAGTCACAAGAAATCTTTGTTGACCTTTTGAAAATCTTGAAAACCAACTATGGTCTACATGATGCTTCTAGGACAATGAGTAGAGAAGTTCTAGGCATACACACACAGGGCAGCATACGTGCGGTTTCAACATTCAACTAAGGCAATTAGTTGGTAGTTTGTTGTAGGCTTAAATGCATTGATTAGCTTATCCACTTAGGTGATAAAACTTATAAATTCCATGTTTCATACAATTCCACCAAAGATTTTGAATGATACTCAATATGTCATTTTTAAGTTACCCTTTTACATGTCAATTTTCATATTATGTACGACAAACATATGATTCAATAATAAATATCTCCTATTTTAAGCAAAACTGTATTGGAGTAATTGATGGGATATATTGATGCTCGTCTTCCAAAATGTGGTTGTGTCATATATTGGTTGATGTGGTTTGTCAACTCAGAATGTCATGACAGTGTGTGACTTCAACGTGTATTTCACTTTTATAATGACTGATTTGAAAGGGAGTGCACCATGACACTCGCATATTTAAATTTGTCACATGTAATTCAAATTATAATTTTACAATGACAATCCCATGTATGATAAGTTTTGATGTGAAAAAAACATTTTAATAAAATCGCAATATATGTTCATAGGGAAGTACAATGTTGTCGATGTTGGATGCCCAATGCAACAAGGCTTCATGAAGCCTTCCACATAAACAAGATATTATATTTCTAATTTTGAGATAAGTCAAACAATTTGAAAAAGAAAAGAATAGATTAACAAATGACACTCCTTACAATGAGTGTTGATAGAACTTTTGGTGTGTGGATGAAAAAAGTGGGTTATTTTATGAAACATGTCATCATACTCTTTCAAAAAATAAGTCAAAATAGTTGGAGCAACAATGACTTTGCACAATTACAAATAAAGAGTTTCGACAAAGATTGAACACACGTTCCTCCTGATGCATATGAGTACAAAATAGAACAACTTATGCCCCAATCAAGTTAAATTTTAAAAAAATCACAGTGTTGAGATGGGGAGGGTGTAGAAGAAATGATCAAGTTGCAATATCAAATTGATGATTTTTTGTCACTTTGAGCAATGTGGGGATTACAACTTGTATTTGTACCATTGGTTATTATTTTCCTTAAGACCCAAAATAGGTACTTAAGATAAACTTTAAGCGTGCAACTGACTTCTGTATTTTTCTCATTCGATGTTCTTTTACTATGTTTAATTAAGGTTGAAGCAAAAACCCCATAGATATTAGCAATACAATATAAGGGTATTGTGTTTGCTCCCAATTAGATGGCCTCTTAGGCAACTGTGTGTGGGTGTGTGTGTGTGTGTGTGTGTGTGTGTGTGTGTGTGTAGAGAGAGAGATATTAAGGTTTATGATGAGATATAAAACATTAGGGGTTCTTTTCTATGATCTTTGCGTTGCTATTTTTTGACATATATGAGTTTCCTAACACGCAAGCAAGATCCCATTCTTTTTGAGTCAAATGATATTAGGGGTTCTTTCGGATGGCCTTTGTGTTGTCAGGGTTTTCGACATACACGAGTTCAACATTAATTGCATAAAAGCAACCAAGATTCCCTTATTTCTAGAATCCTTATCATCTTATAACGGCAGATTATTCATTTATTTCTACTAACTCAGAAAATTCACTTTCTTTGTTAACTTTATCTTTGTGGATTTATTTTTCCTTGTAAAAACATCATTGCAGCATTAATAGAAGTTAATTTTAATTAATAAACTTTGATTTGTAATGAAATATGAACTCAGGAAATAGAGTAGTTTTAGAAAGAAAGCTTTTCAGTAGAGTAGGTCATTTGGATTTCAAATGTAATATTACAATAATATTATTTGTTGCTACTATAATTTTATTTTTTTTATTTTTTTGTGATTTTGTGTTGTGTGATGTATAGCATTTGATATAATATTTTGGACTTGTGACTTTTTCATATTTCTGAATTTCATATATGTTTTTATGTATGTGTTAATTTTGAAACTGTCAGCTTACATATATTATATGTATAGAAGGGTAATAGAAACTTTATTTCAAAAATAACTGCCACATAACTATAACAAAGTTGAACTAACTAAACAGACACGCATCTTCACCCATAGCAACTTTCCCGCAACAACTTCTTCTATTAACCATTGAATTTGTAAGACCAAGAAAACTCATCTAACAAATAAAACGACATCAGAAAAGCAATCCAACATGAAATGTTGTT